ATAAGCATTTCCAATAGATTGTTTACAACTTTATTGAGATAATATTCACATACCATGCAGTTCACCTATTTAAAGTGTACAATCCAATGCTTTATAGTATATTCAGAGTTGCACAATAATTAACACAATTTTAGAATATTTTCATCACCCCAAAAAGAAAGTCCATGTCCATTAGCAGTTACCCTAATTTTTCTCCAACTCTCTTAACCCCTTAGACTAATAATCTACCTTCTATCTCTACAGATTTGCCTATTCTGAGCATATAAATATGAACCATACAATATGTGAGTCTTTCTTACTAGTTTCCTACACTCAACGTGTTTTCAAGGTTGGCCCGTGAGGTAGCACTTATCAGTGTTTCCTTTCTTTTTACTGCCAAATAATATGCCATTGTATGAATATGTCACATTTTACCTATTCATCAGATGATGAACACTGGGTTGTCTCCACTTTTTGACTACTGTGAAAACTGCCACTATGCACATTCACATACAAGTTTTGTATAAATGTTTTCATTTATCTTGGGTATAAACTTACAAGTAAAATTGCTAAGTCATATGGTAACACTATACATGTAACCTTTTAGGGAAATTCCAGTCAATTTTCGTTCTTTTTTAAAAAATATTTTTTCAAAGTGTGGGGTACATTTCAAGATTAGGTAGACAAGTGGTCATACTACAGATAAAGTTTGGGCCTCCCATTGGTCTCCACTTCACCTGGTTTGAGATCAGCTCTGCTTATTGATGTTATGTGCCCCACCCACTCCTTCCCCTGGCAGTGTCCCACTACTGCCCACCCCTTTCATATAGTATTATAAATGTTCAGGGTTCGCTTGTGAGTGAGAACATGTGGTACTCAGTTCTTTGTTTCTGTGATAGATCACTGAGTATGATAGACTCTATATCCATCCAAGTTGCTGCAAAGTCCATAGTAATTCCAGTCAGTTTTCTAAAGAGGCAGCACCATTTTTTACTCCCACAAGCAGTGTGTGAGTTCCAATATTTCCACATCTTTGTCAACATGTTTTAGGATTTCTCTTTTTTATTATAACCAAGCTTCATCATCAGGTGTTTTCAAGGCAGTGTTTGCAACTTGATCTTTGCTCAGAAGTGATTTCCTAATTTTAGCATATCCTGTTGTCTTGGTGCAGCTGAGACTCCCCAAAACCATTAAGTCCTGGTTTCTCTTTGCTGAATGGTCTTTCCTACAGTTTTTCTCTCTCGTCACATTCTACTATAAGCAAGACACCAGGCAGCACCTTCTACACTTGGCTTGCAAACCTTCCTAGTGTGATCATCTTAGGCATAGGCTTTACTTTCTACAGTACTGAACTGCAGGCGACAGTGTTGCTGAACAGCCTGCCACTACATGACAAGATCTTCCTTCTGCCTGTTTCCAATAATGTTTGCTTCTCTTTTCCAGAAGTCCTCATCTGCAGCCTGTCAAAAACCATGAGATTTCTATAAACAGCTTCTTCAAAGCACTTTGGGTTTTCACTAGCCTATGCCTACTTAATTCAACACCCACTGCCCAGTTCCAAAACCACTCCCACATTTTGGGTTTTCATTGTGTCCACAGCCCACCTCCAAGTACCAAATTCTGTATTATTTATCGATTGCTGCATAACATATTACCTCAAAACTTAGCAAGTTAAATCAACATTTCCAGTCCACAGTTTCTGAGAGTTAGGAAGCCAGGAGTGAGTGGTTTAGCTGGGTGTTTCCACTGCAGTGTGTCACATGAGGTTACAGGCAAGGGAATGGCTGTGGCCTGCAGTCTCATCTGAAGACTCAGGTGATGGAAGACCCACTTCTGAGCACATATACATGGTTGTTAGGAAGCCACAATTTGTTGCTGTTGGCCATGGGCTTCAGTTACTTACCACATGGGATCTCCACAGGCTGAGTGTCCTCAGAAGATGGCAGGCAGCTGACTTCCAAGAGGACAAGTGACATGAGAGAGTCCAAGCCCAATACAGAAGCCACAGTCTTTCAAGCCAAAACTTTGAAGTGATATACATCACTTCTATCATACTCTATTCATTAGAAGTGAGTCAAAGTGTCATACAGTGTCCTGCTGAAAAATCTGACATTTCCATCCACTTCTGCAATGCTCATACCTTTTGAGACACTGTTATAGTGTCTGTTAAAGTACCTGTCTCATAATCACATCTGTGACAGTTTTGGGTTCTAATGTGCCTCTCCTTCTGAATTGTTGAAATTTTCCGGATTTCTGTATTCAGTGTGAATCTGCACTGCATCCTGGATGTTCTTAATGTTATGAGCCTCTGGGTATTTCATGCTTCTGGCAAATGCTGGGGGTTTTTTCAGCAGGCAGCTTAACTGGCTAGGTTGTAGTCATCAGTTCCACTCCACCTTTTGTGGACTGTGGTTCTAATACCAGTCCAGTTTTGTAATTTTCAGTGATGTGTGGATTTATCCCAGATGGCCAGTATCAGACCCAAGCAACAGTCTACCCTTCTAGGGTCAGACCTATACACACAGAGATCAGCAGTGAGCCCAGGGCTGCATAAACAACGTCATGATATCACTTTCTTGACCCTTTGTTACTAGCTTCCTTCACTCAGCATGTTTTCAAGGTTGGCCCATATGGCAGCACTTATCAGTGTTTCCTTTCTTTTTATTACCAAATAATATGCCATTATATGAACAGGCCGCATTTTACCTTTCTTAAGCTTCCTTATCCCTGCTACCACTTTGACACCTTCCAGCTCCCAGGAGCCACTTTCTCTTCCTGGTCTTCTGGTAAGAAATCCGAGGCTTCCGGCAAGTCCAAGAAACAGGAATTCAGGGAGAGAAGAAAAGCAACAGGGACTCTTGCAACCCGTTGTGGCCCCCAGTTCCTCTGACCAGACACAAGGGTTCCTCATCCTTCAAGGTTCAGACAACTACTCAGCCACCACTGTCCTCAGCACAGAAGTGTCTAGGAGTGCCAGAAGGGTCTCATTTCAATGTCTGGTTTCCCTCCCAAATCCTCAGTTGTCATTACTTTTCAGGTCCCCACACAGCTGTTCCACACACACTACATTCATGGTGAGAGGTTAAGTGGAGTATGTTCACTCTGCTAAAGGTGAAACCAGCATCAACTCAAAGTCATTTTATTTCCGTGATTACATCCCTGGAGGAAAAACTCAGACAGGAACTTTCTGAGAATACAAAGGAAGAATTCTGACTGGAAGTTTCATATTAATCACTTCTTCCCATCACTTTTTGCTTTACTTTTTTAATAAAAAGTTAAATGTATAGAAAAGTTTGTAAGTGACCAATGAGTATCTCTATATCCACCACAAACTTACTACTTTTTACATATTTATTTGAAAATATGCTGCAGACACCATGACTTTTCAAACTTAAGGAAACAGCATGCATCTCCCCAGAACAGTATCCTATATATATACCATTATCACTTTTAGAAAAACTAAACATACCTTCGTATTTCCCCTCAAATACTCCCCAAATGTCTTCTATTTCCTTTTTTCTGAATCAGAAGCCAATAAAGGATCAGACTTTGCATCTGGTTATGCCTTCTGTCTTAATCTAGAAGAGTCCACTTCTTGTTTTATAACCTTGACTTTTTTTAAAAACTCCAGACCAACTGTCTTATACTCTGGATTTGTCTAGTTCCTCACTGTAATTCAACTTGTTCCTCTATCCTTTGTATTTCTTTAAACAGGAAGGGAAGACTACTAAGAGATTGAACTGAATTTTGATTAAACACTTTTGGCAAACATCACAGACAGTCATAGTTTATACTGGATCTTCTCAGGAGCCCTCGTCAGCTTATTCCACAAGCAGTGAAACTCAGACAGCCAGATCTCAGTATAAAAGGCAATTCATTTGCAATTAGTACTTGTGATCTTTCGACACCTTGTGAACAATACCCCTTAAAATTCTTTTCACCTAATGGTGAAAAAAATCCATTTGTTTTCCAGATTTAATTACAGAAGAGTTGCAAAATGGTAGCTTATCCAAATCTATCATCCTGTGTGCATTTGAAACACAGCATTCTTAAGATAATTTTATAAAGCACTTTCTTTTTTCTTTATCTTGATGGCCTTCTTTTTCCCTCTTACTGTTATTATCAATTATAGTGATTATTCTTTTTGACGTTCAAATTGCTCTAAATTTGACCAGTGGGAGAGCTTCAAGTTAGTTCCTGTGGCCTTCTGACATCACCCCATTAGTCTTCAAATGGTATCTTGCTTTTTTTTTCTTCATAAATAGATGTTCCAGACACACCATATACTTCCTCTGTTCTGAACACGAACCCTGGTTCCTTCCAGTGCAGAATGGCACTGAGAAAGAAAATGTGTGTTTTCTAACCATGCGCTCTGCTATTGGGTAGAATATTAAATATCGAGGTACGTTTAAAAGCCTCATTTTATTTGTAAGTACACTTTCATACATGAAACAATACTTTCTGATAAGCTAAAACAAGTCAACTGAGAAAGATGCTGGCTGGGCTTGGTGGTTTAGCCTATAATCCCAGCACTCTGGGAGGCCAAGGCAAGACGATTACCTGAGGCTGCAGTTTTGAGACCAGCCCAGGCAACTTGGTGAGACCTCAGTCTCTACAATAAATCAAAAAATTAGCCGGGCATGGTAGCATGCACCTGTAGTTCCGGCTACATGGAAGGCTGAGGCGGAAGGATCACCGGAGCCCAGCAGGTCGACACTGGGTTGGCTGTGAGCATGCCACTGCACTCCAGCCTGGGCAACAGAGTGAGACTCCAACTCAAAAAAACAAAGAAAGATACTATACTGAATATTTGAGTTTAATTCTAAAACCTTTCTCAGACAGATCTAGCTAATTATATAAGAAAAAATTTTAAAATGATACCAACTGTGAAAATTAAATACAACACTGGAGGAAATAGGCCTTGGGGAAATACAGTGTTTAACTGATGACTATAATGTTTAATAATCAAATATGTATCTATAACTTTCCATAAAAGAATTCCTAAAGTGTGTGTGCTAAAAAGGCAACCTTGCATGTAAAATCCCCCAAAGCAATTACACCATCTGAACTTCAGCTGGCTTTAAGGATTTAAGTGCAGTTATAAAAGCAGGTGCTCCTAAGAAAAAAGAGGATGGCTGTAGGCAAGTCACTCATTAGGAGTAAAGTGAGGAGAAACCCTCAAAGATGAAAGAAATAGCTGGTTAAATCGCTGGAACTGTGTCTAACTAGGAGACGAAACAAACAGTACTCTTGGGCCTTACAGCTGGAAATGAGCCTACAATTATCCCAGAAGACCAGAGCTGAGGCCCTAGGTTCTAGTCTTAACTCTGCCCACTAAGTTCAAATTCTTCATCAGCAAAATGAAAGACCATAATTTAACTAAAACCTCTCCTGGCTCTAATGAGCTACCAGGCATATAGTCTGAGATTCTGTCAGATATATACCTTCTGCAGAAGACAGAGTATGTACATGACAGTCTTCCCAAGTGCTTTAGTCTACTCTACCTGCTATAGTACCATAAAAATAATCTATTCAGTTACATAGACCACGTCAAATTAAGAAACAACGTTAGACTGCAAAGGGCAGAGATTCTCCCTTTGGGCAAAATTTTAATTCTAAAAACTTAATTCTAAATTAATACAACTGCATTTTTTTAAATCATAGAGGACTTTTTAAAAAACGTTTTCCAAAACTGCATGTGTATTTGCATATATTTATATATCTGCATACATGTATATTTATATATATATAACTAGCTAATGGGGCAAATCATGAAGAAAGCTTTATTATTTTCATGTGAAGAGGTAAATTTAAAGAATTATTTTTTATTTTTAGCCTGTCTTTATGAAAAGGAGTATTTCCTATGTCCACAGCCATTTTAGAAAATAAGGTCCCACACTTATTTACATTATTAATAACTCAATGACAGATTTTAAAAGAAACAGTCATAAGATGATTTAAAAGAAATTTCACATATCGAGGCTTACTCTTATAAAGGGATTATGATCTAATGAGAGAAATGAAATTTACAGTCAACTGCTTTTCAAAATTTTTTTAAGAGTTAGGCTTTTTACATCTTTTCTAAGAATTAAAAAAATTGCTTATAGGTTTTTAGAAACCTTTGTATGGTTCTTTTAAAACTTGACAAGTGTGTGCTCTTCGTATTTTTGTTGATCAAGTTTACCATTACTTAGTGATAACTAGCAAATTTCCAGCAGGAGAAGTAAAAAATACTTAAATCTATTAGGAGTTTGAACCCTCATTATTCTCCTGATTATTCTCCAATGAGAAGTCTTGGACTTCTTGAGACATGAACTAAACCTCATAGGGCTTATCTCCTCTAAGGAATCTCTGATACTGAGGAAGGGAGGCACTGTAGATGAAAGGTTTCCCATATTCCTTCCATTTGTAGAGTTTTTCTTTAGTGTGAACTTTTCTGTGTCTACAGAGGTTTGATCTATAACTGTACGCTTTCCCACATTCCATACATTTATAGAGCTTCTCTCCAGTATGGATCCTCTCGTGCTCAGTTAGGAAAGAATATTGGCTGAAAGCTTTTCCACACTGGTTACACTGATACGGCTTCTCTCCAGTATGAATTCTCTGGTGCCTATAAAGGTTGGACTTGCAACCAAAGGCTTTGCCACACTCTTCACATGTGTAAAGCTTTTCCCCAGTATGAATTTTCCGATGCTCATTAAAGGACGAATACTGGTTGAAGGTTTTCTCACATTCACTACACTGATAGGGTTTTTGTCCAGTATGAATGCGCTGATGCTCGATGAGAGTTGCAACACGCGTGAAGGTTCTCCCACATTCCAAACACTTACACAGTTGTTCTCCAGTATGAAGTTTCTGATGTTCTGCAAGAGACGTCAACTGGCTGTAACCCTTCCCACATTCCCTGCACTTATACGGTTTCTCACCTGTGTGGATTCTTTGATGTCTGTGAAGTTTTGCTCTACAATTGAAGGCCTTCTCACATTCACCACATTTATAGAGTTTCTCTCCAGTATGAATTCTCTGATGTACAGTAAGGGTTGAGCACTGGCTGAAGGCCTTGCCACACTCCCTACATCGGTAGGGCTTCTCTCCAGTATGCACTCTCAGATGTTTGATCAGGGTCGAACTGTTGCTAAATGCTTTCTCGCATTCGTTGCATTTGTAAGGCTTCTCTCCAGTATGAATTCTCTGATGAGAAAGAAGGGATGATCTGTGGCTGAAGGGTTTCTCACACTCATTACATTTGTAGGGTTTCTCACCAGTATGAAGTCTCCGGTGCTCGACAAGATGAAGATTCTGCTTGAAGCTCTTCCCACATTCGTTACAGACGTAAGGTTTTTCTCCTGAGTAAATCTGGAAACATCTCATTAGATCGAAATTTTGCTCAAAATCTTTCTCCAAAGTACAATGCATATTGGGTGTCTTTTCTGTAGGAACACTCTGTGGTGTAACAGGCATTGCCTTGGTAAATAAGCTTTCCTCCGATTCAAAACCTGCATGGTTTCTATCTCCATCGATGGTCTCCTCGTGTGAGGCCACCATTGGCCTAAGAGGCTTCTTCTCTTGCTCCTGTTCTAGTTCACTCTCAAAGTTCACATTTTCTCCAAATTTGATGCCCCAGGGACCATACTGAACGGATTCTTCTTTCGTTATTCCCTGAGATGTTTCTTCTGTTAAAATGTTCTGTCTTGGAGGCGAGGCTTCTACTTCAGGCCAAATCTTGAAGCCTGAAATGAATCAGAAGGATTAACGCCTCCTCTGCTGGAAGAGACAAACTGGAGAATCATGGGACAATAAAACTGGCAACAACACATAGAAAAGAGGCTCGATACCACCCGACCTCAAATATGGACTCAAATCTAGAGGAAAACAGGAGGAGACCAATAGAAAGAGAGGTCAACAGATGAAGGAGTGCTGTGGGAGATACACTGGGTAAAATAACACGAACGTGAAAAGACTGTCCCTGGGAGAAGGAAAGTCACCCACAGGAGAACAGGCTGACCAGAAAGCATGAGCATATAGAAACATATCAGATGACAGACCCAAGCTGAATTGCACGGGACACTTTCATTTGTCAATCATATTCCACTCTGCATATTCCAGGCAGTGAAGCAGGCAACTTGTCTTTACTTTCTCCTTCCGATTCACAGGTCACTTTCACTATAGTTCCCCATGATCTCTCTGAAACCCCTACATATTAAGTTCCCCACATACAAACCTTCAAGTTGCAAACTTTCTTTTTTTTTTTTTGAGTTGGAGTCTCACTCCATTGCCCAGGCTGGAGTGCAGGGGTACACTCACGGCCACCCCAGCCTCAACCTGCTGGGCTTCAGTGATCCTTCCACCTCAGCCTTCCAAGTAGCCAAAACTACAGGCGCATACTACCACGCCCAGCTAATTTTTGATTTATTGTAAAGATGAGGTCTTGCCAAGTTACCCAGGCTGGTCTCGAACCTGTGGGCTCAGGCAATCCACTCGCCTAAGTTGCCTTCACATGTCCAATCACATAAGTTAGTTCACATGTCTGGCATACTTTTCAAGATACCGTACCGTAAAACTTAAAATTTTGTGTGTGTTTTTGTTTTTTATGTATTATTTGTGTGGAAAGTTTTATAAACCTATTACAGTACAGTACTATGTAGCTGATTGTATTAGTTGGGTACCTAGGCTAACTCTGTTGGACTTAGGAACAAATCAGATTTACAAATGCGCTCTTGGAAAGGAACTTGTTGGTATGTAGGAGACTTACTATACCCAATAATTTTTTAAATATGTGGATTGTTTTTCTCAGATTTTGTGATTTCATATCATAATCTGTGAAAGGGGCAAAAGCATGCTAAAAAGAGGACATCTGTGTTTTAAAGACGACAATAGCCCTGAAACGTGATGTTGCTGACATTGTTTGATCTATGTTCGAGATGCTCATTATAGAAAAGAGAAAAACACAGAGTAAATCACCCATATGCGAAAATCTTATCCCTGGTGGTGGGAGGAATAACAGCTTTTTCATACCACTCTTCTGTCTTTTTTTCCCTTTGTATTTATTAATGAGAAGAAGCAGACATCACTTTTTCTAATAAGCTGCAACCAGAAGAACTCCCTCTCGCTGCAGGAATCATCTAAGAGTAATGAAAACCACAAGAGATTTGGAGTCGAAATGGCTTGAGGCTCCGCAATATGTCCAAGCCCAAGCCCAGCTGTGGGTCTGCGCAGAAACGTTTGGCCTGAGCTGGTCCCAAGGTTCTCTGAGTTAAAGCCTGGCTTTCATTTGTCAGTCCGCGACAGAACCGAGATCAAAATCAGGTCGTCTCCGCCAGGCAACGGAACTGTGTGTACAGCTTAAAATAACTGGCCTTGAGGCTCTCACCAGGGCCCAGTGTTTCCAGGAAGTCTCCAGAGTGCTGCCTCCTGGTGACCTGCTTGTCTGCAATAGGCCCTGGGCCATCTCCCAGTCTCTCACTCACCCAGACAGGGGTCCGAAGGGACGTCTCTTCCCAGCGTGCAAGGATCTTCTCCTTGTTTCAACTGGCGGATCGCCTTGGGCATTGAAAACGGAATCCCTGCTCAAGAGGAAGAAAATGGAGTTTGGACAGAGGGCATGAAGCGCAACCCCAGGGCTTGTGTGTACTCGCGCTAAACCTACAAGGCAGAGGAAGTGTGTGGGAGGCAGAGAAGGTGGCACGAGCACCTCCGAGGGCTCTGGAAGCTCTCGGGGCTGAGTCAGGAGGCCGGTCACTGCAGAAACATTGCCGGGCACAGCTATGATGCTTCTAAGATGGGACATTCCTACATATTTTCAGAATCTAAGCTGGGACCTAGTCACTGGCCTACTCCAAAGAGAAAAACTATGACCGAGGGTGGGATATGAGGAAGGACAGAAGGGGAAGAATAGAATAGCAAAAATGTACACTTTCAACTCACAGCATTTGACCTTTCCCAGGGGCAACACTGTGTAGAAAACTAGGTTCTGGGCCCCTCAGATGGCCTGTGAGGTGTCCCGACAGCAGGTTTCTCATCATGGGCAAAAACCCTTACCCAGCGCGGCCAGGCTGCTGTAGGTCTCCAGCATCACCTCCCGGTACAGGATCCTCTGGGCAGAGTCCAGGCGCAGCCACTCGTCCTGGCTAAAAAGCACAGCCACATCCCTGAACGTCACGGGCTCCTGCAATGGCAAACCCTGTCTTGGTCATCCAGGACCATCTCCTTTAATGGCAATCTACAGAGGCGAAACTGAGCTTGCAGCGAGTAACTCTGAAATCGTCTCAGGATACTAAGTGTTTCACAACAACTCTTTATGTAATTTGTTGGAGCCACCCATTCACTATTTAATTAAACAGTCTTTATTTAGTACCCACTAGGAACAAAGACATGCCATGTGCCATGGGGGCAGAGGAAAAAAGCAAAGTCCCCTCCAACAAACAGATCATTTAAATTCCAGCCTGGGATCTTTCAAAGGGACTGAGCATATACATTAACTGGAATAAAATAAAAATCAGGATATACTTGGAGAAACGTCAGGAAATACCATCAAGAGAACAGAAACCTAAAGGAACACCTGAGACATAATGCAAATAATAAAAGTGGCACTAGTTAATGCTTACTGAATATGTTAGGGACTATGAGAGAAACTTTGTACACAGAATCTCATTTAGGCCTCATAAAGATCCCATGAGGAAGCTACTATAATTAAATCATGTGGCAGATGAAAAACCTTCCCAAGGTAATGCTGTCAGAAAGTGATGGAGCCAGGATTTTGAATTCAGGTAAATGGTCCTCTGGGCTACATTGTCAGTTGGGTTTACATTAACTATGAAAATTAAAAGAACCAAAGACCTGTAAAACTATAGGTGCACCAAGGAGGTGAGTTCTTCCAAAAGTATCCCAGTTAAACCCCAAAGTGTGAGAAAGTGTGGGCTGGACAGACAGCAACTCTAGGATGAAAAGACTGAAGGGAGTACAATCAGTGCCATGCTTTGGGTGGGTATTTTGTTAGGAATCTACCAGAACATAAAAGGCACATCACTGCAACCTACTGCTAGGATTCTACCACGAGAAAGTCACATAACTTGGGTAGAGCTATTTGCTCCAGGGTGTAGGTGTATACTACAACCTGACTTAAAAGTCAATGGCTGTGGTAGGCTGAATGATGAACCTATAACTGTTGCACGTACAACAAAAGGGAGTGTGCGGAACTGTTAAAATAAGGGATCTTGAGAGATGGAGGAGTTACACTGGATTATTACCCAGGTCGTCCCAATGTAATCACAATGGTCCTGGAAAGGGCCCAAGAGGCGTCGTCGTAAGAGAAGGTGATGCGGCAGAAGTGGAGACTGCAATGCCATGCTTTGAAGATGAAGGGAAGGACCACAAGCCAAGGACTGCAGCAACCACTAACGGTGAAAAGGGCAAAGACATAGATGTTCCCCTCAGAGCCCCTGGAAGGAACCAGACCTGCCGACAGCTTGACCTTAAGCCAGTAAAAGTTTCAGACTTTCAACTTGCAGAAGTCTAAGAGAATACATTTATGTTGTTAGAAGCCACTGAGTTTGTGGCAATTTGTTATAGCAGCAATGGGAAATAAATATAATATTGGAAAGTGGAACAAAACCTACATATCTATCAATGGGGGATGGATAAGCAGATTATAGTACATTTACTCCATGAAATAGCATACAACCATTCAATAGAATGAGATAGTTTGCATGCCTGGCATTGGAATTTGACCTTGATATATTATTGATTCACATGAAAAACCAAGACACAAGACAATCTATATTTACTGGAAAATTCTGTATCTGTATATACATATGTATGGTGCATACAAAAATATCTGGAAGAATACAAGCTGTCACCCTGATTATTCTTTGATAACTGTGGAGAAGGGCAGAAAAGCAATCTTTCACTTTTACTTTACACCCTTCCATTTGGCTGACATCTTTTTACAGTGTGTGCGTGTATGTGTTCCTTTGTTTTGAATTCCTGAGACTGCATTTTAATGTATATGTTGACTTTTTAGTTAGGCCGCTTTGCATTTTTAGTGGTTGCTCAGATGCATTTTCTTGGTTATTTATGGTCTATTTAGAGCTAATATACCATCTCACAAAGCATGCGAGAACCTTGCAGGTATATAGGACACCACCACCCTTCTTTGTGCTACAGTTGTTACCAAGATTTTCCCAGTTCACACAGCTGACAGGACTCGCCAGACTTCACCGAGCAACTCAGGTAAGGCTCATATTTTTAAAGGCAAAAGGCACAATGGCTGGGCTCGGTGGCTCAGCCTGTCACCCAAGCACTTTGGGAGACTGAGGCGAGTGGATTGCCTTAGCCAGCGGGTTTGAGACCGGCCCAGGTAACTTGGCTAGACCTCATCTCTACAATAAATAAAAAATCAGCTGGGTGTGGTGATGCATGCCTGTAGTTCCAGCTACTTGGAAGGCTGAGGCACAAGGATCGCCAGAGCCCAGCAGGTTGACGCTGGAGTGACCGGAGTGTGCCATTGCACTCCAGCCTGGGCAACAGAGTGAGACAAAAAATAAAAATTAAAACAAAAAATAAAAATTAAAAAATAAAGGCAAAAGCCACAATGCAGCGAGAGAAGGAGATGCAGGGAAGTACTGAAAGCCAAGAGACATCCCACACATAGGCTCCCTCATTTGCACACAGACTACACCATGTCCCTAGATCTGGGTGAAGGATCCTGGCTCTGGGAGAGCCTGCAGGAACTCTCAGCAGGGCCTCTGATGTAACCAAATCACTTAGCCCAGTTGCAAGCCATCAGTAAAGATGCTTACGTTGGGAGGGGGATGGGGGGTAGCCAGTGGCATTTGAGTCTGAAACAGCACATGCATTGCCCTTATCCTATCTGGGCCAAGAGTCAAAAAACAGACGTTCAGACGTTCCCAGAGATAAGGCAGAGCTTTTCTAGTCCAGATGTAAAAGAAGCCTAACTTCACAGCCGTCATATACATTACATCTGCCTGCATTATAAACCCCGTAGTATGCTGTTTTAATTTTGTTTTAAATAGTCATATGCATTTTGAATAAATTGAGAGAAAAAAGTATTTTATATTTGTCCAGATAGCTATCATTTCTAATGCTCTTCATTCTTCCTAAAATCAGAATTCTCATCTGGCATATTTTGCTTTTAGCTTGAAGAACTTTTAGTGTGTCCTGTGGTGCAGGCCTACTGACAGTGAATTACCTTAATTTTCTTTTATCTGAATATGTCTTCATTTTACCTTCATTCTCAAAGAATATTATCTTTATTTTATTTATTTATTTATTTTTGAGTTGGAGTCTCACTCTGTCGCCCAGACTGGAGTGCAGTGGCCGCTCCCGGCCACCGCAGCTTCAACCTGCTGGGCTCCAGCGATCTTTCCGCCTCAGCCTTCCAAGTAGCCGGAATTATAGGCGTGCACTACCATGCCCAGCTAATTTTTTGATTTATTGTAGAGATGAGGTCTCGCCTGCCCAGGCGGGTCTCGAACCCGCATGCTCAGGCAATCCACTTACCTCAGCCTCCCAAAGGCGCGGGATTGAATAGTATCTTTAGATACAGAATTCTGGATTCACAATTTTTTTTTTCTTTCACCATGTAAAATGTCATTCTGTTGTTTTCTGGCCTTTGTTATAGAAGCCAATGATTATTCAAATATTCATTCTCTGCACGTAACATAATTTTTTTCTGGCTTCTTTCAAATTTTTGGGTTTTTTAATTTGTCTGTAACTTTTCTGCCCAATATGGTAGACACCAACTACAAGTGGCTATGTATGCATGAAATGTGGCTCTTCTGAATTGAGCTGTGCTGTGTCTAAAACATGTAGCAGATGATTTACTAAAATATAAATATACATACACAAACACACACATATGGTATCTCAGTAATAACTTTATGCTGGTTACATGTGGAAAAGACAGTATTTGGATATACTGGGCTATATCCAAATAACCAAATTTTGAATTTTGTCTCCAAAATAAATATGCTGAAGCCTAACCCCTAGTACCACAGAATGTAACTGTGGTTAGAAACAAGGTCCTTAAAAAGGTAATTAAGTTAAAAGGAGGTCTTTAGGCCCCTAATCCAATATGATGCACTTCTAAGGAGAGGTTAGGGCACAGACATGCCCAGGCACACAACAGGGACCAAGTGACAGGAGGTAGCGAGGAGACCCATCTCCACACTAAGGACAGACACCTGAGAAGAAACCAAACCTGCTGACACCTTCATCTTGAATTCCCAGCCTCCAGAACTGTGAGGAAAAAACCTTCTGTTGTAAACCATCCAGTCTGTGGTATTTTATTATGACAGCCCTAGCAAGACAGGCTTCTTCCTGCTACAAGCAGGGTACTCATGACAACCCCATTTTGTCTTTACCTCAACAGCCAAGCATTCTTTTTTCTTTTTAAATTTCATTAGCTTTTTAAAAGTATACAAATCAGACATAATCACTTCAGAAAAATTTTTCAAATTGAAAACAAAAAAGCATAAATCACATTAAATCCTATTACTCAGACAACTTTTGCTTGTGTTTTAAGAATATATTCCAAAGCCGGGCTCGGTGGCTCAGCCTGTAATCCCATGCCTTTGGGAGGCTGAGGTGAGTGGATTGCCTGAGCCCGCGGGTTCGAGACTCACCTAGGCAACGAGACCTCATCTCTACAATAAATCAAAAAATCAGCCGGGCGTGGTAGCGCATGCCTGTAATTCCGGCTACTCGGAAGGCTGAGGCGGAAGGATCGCCGGAGCCCAGCGGGTCAAGGCTGCGGTGGCCGGGAGCGGCCATTGCACTCCAGTCTGGGCGACAGAGTGAGACTCCAACTCAAAAAAAAAAAAAAGAATGTATTCCAGAATTCAGAGGCCAGGCACGGTGGCTCATGCCTGTTATCTCAGAACTTTGGGAGGCAAGGTTCAACTTTGGGAGGACTGCTTGAAGTCAGGAGTTCAGGACTAGCCTGGGCAACAAAGTAAGACTCTATCTCTACAAAAAGTTTAAAAAATTAGCCAGGCATGGTGGCACACACCTGTAGTCCCAGCTAGTCGGGAGGCTGTGGTGGAAGAATCACTTGAGCCCAGAAGCTGGAGGCTTCACTGAACTATGATCACGCCACTGCACTCCAGCCTGGACAACAGAGCAATACTCTGTCTCTAAATAGATAGG